TTTTTTTTTTGTTTTTTTTTTTTTTTGCAAAGGCAAAAGCCAAGTAGAAAGCAATCTAAATATCAGCGATCTGGATCTTGCTGTGTAGCGTAGGTTGGCTGGCCTGGAACTCGTGATCCTCCTGCCTCAGTCTCCTGAGTACTGGTATTACCAGCATGAACTGGGATTTTTTCTAAAGAAGACACAATGATATCCATGCTCTGGGCTCATATGCATCTATTAAAAAGAAGAAAGCAGACCTATTGGTATAAATCCAGGACTTGTTGCTAAGTGAAAAATTGCCTACTGCCAGGGTAATCTTGTAAAACCAACAATAATATTATTTGTTGGTACATGCACAAGAAATCATCTGAAAGTCCATAAATCAAATTGTCATCAGTGGAATGGGGTGAGAGAGGAAGTGTAGGAGAGCTCTGTATGTACACTTTGGTAGCCTTTAATTTATATGTGGACATTTGCTTTTCCCCACATTTTACTAGTGTATATTAACTGTACAATTACAATTCTACAATTCATTGTGTATTTCCATGCATGCATATAATAGACTTTGATCATATTCACCCCCTCTATTACTCTTTCTTTTCCTCCCTTATCTCCTTTTAAAATCTTTCTTGCAATTTTTAGATGCATTTCATGATGACGTTTTCATACATGTATACAAGGTATGCTGAAGAAAATTACTTGAAAAATGGAAGGGTCAGTTTGCGAGGTAGTCAGCTCTCAGTCACTGATTAACACAGGCCTTAGTAAGAGTGGGAGGTAGGGAAGTAAGAAAGTTAGATGAGATGACCTGTGAGTCCCCTTAATATCCTAGGAGTTCTGGAACTTCTCTGCTACTACCTGTCCCCTCTAATTCACACAGCAGAAGCTCCAATAAGATGAGAGAAAATAGGGCATTTTAAAAATTGAGATAAATCATGCTAACCACAGCAGAAACCTGGTGTGAAATCCATGCCATAGGGAATGGGCAGTCCTTCTGACACGCTGTATACTGCCTCTTAAGTGCTTGTACCCTGCAGCACAGATAGATTTATTGTACTAAATTTGGGGGTGTGAAGCTAGACAGCTGCAAGCATGCCCAGAAAGCTTTCATGGGCTTAAAGACTTGCTGATTCCAGCCTTTGGCAAGTGTCCCCATTGGCTGCTGGATTTCCTTCCTTCCTCTATGGTCGGGTGGAAAAATGCTGCCCTTCAGTTATCCTGAGCTATCTTCCTTGTCACACCCAGTGCAAGGAAGGAATCTGCCCTCCAGGTTTTTGCAGCTGAGGCACCTGCACAAACTCGGCCAGGCTATTGGAAAGCTTGCTTGCCACTTGTAGGCACTAGAGTCTAGGGTGCTGTCAGCTCCCTCCAGTTCCCACCCCCCAATGCTTCAGGCAACAGGGGTGAAATTCACATGCCCTTTCCTGCTTACCGTTTATTGGCTACAAATAGCACCTTCCCTGAGAGAGTCTCCCCTTCCTTGGCAAAGAGAGGGGTCTGAAGAAGACACCGCACCTGATACCAATGAGTCAGAGGCTCAGTTGGGGCTGTTGACAGCCAAACTGTTACCCTGTGGGATAAGAAAAGAATTAAAAGCCAATTACCTGCCAGGCCCACATTAATGAATTGAGTTGGAGACTGAGACTGATAAGTGATCTTAATCTTTTTGACTCAATGGAACACTTTTAAGACAAGAGCAGCTCCACTTATTGAACAATTACCATATTGTGGGTACTGAACTAAGAATTGATTGTGTATTATCCCATTAAATCTACACCAATCATTCTCTAACGTAAGCCCAGACAATCAAATGATTTGCCCAGTATCACACAGAATTATGGAGAATTATGCTTCCAATTCATAGATACAGCCACCATGTTAACCTTTATTTCTGAATGAAAGCTTACCAGAAGCCCCATGAGTAAGAGTTAAAATAGGAACTGTTTTTTAAAATCGTGGCAAGGGAAGAAATCTGAAGTCTGGACTCTTACTATTGCATGCAATTTTGTTTGGAAGTCCTGAGAAGGCTTCTAAAAGCAAGGGTTACTGGAGCAGATGGTCTCCACTGTCCTTCCAGATCAGACACCCATGTGTGTTTGTGTATGTGTGTGTGTATGTGTGTGTATGTGTGTGTGTGTATTTAAAGCAAGGTTCGTTATTTCTTGTGAAGATGTAAGAACATGCTGCTGTGCTCTTGATACCAAAGTCACCTGCCCTGGGACAGGGCAACAGTTCTGGCTTATGGGGAGCCAGGGACACATTAAACATGGGACAAATTCCTAGAGGTTCAATTTTGACTGGAAGACTTGGAGGAAAAAAATTATACAATTAAATTGCTGAGTAATATAAGTCACTTTCTATATCAAAATATACCCAGATATAGAGAAGATCACAACTTTTCTACATTTAAAAAATTAAAACATTTAACCTCAAAGAAACTTTTCCTATTGGAGAAGGCCTCTTGGAGCTTATTATCTCCCTTACCTTTGTAGGACCGAATTCATGGGCAGGGACTATTACTGGAAAAAACAAATATATGGATTCCTTGAACAAATGTGTTTATATGAGTAGGAACAACTGGAGTATCATTTTCTTTTCTCTGATTGTCAGCCTGGACAAGGCTCCCATGGGACCCCTCCTCTCCCTGTATCCCCCAATGTCCTCATTCCCAGTTTATCACATCCCAGTGGTATTTCTAAGCAGGTACAGTGAGGAGCCTGGACTTTCTCACAGAAGTGGAGGAAAATACACTGTAGAAGTTCTCCTTCACTTAGCATGTGACCGATATCAAATCTCTTTGCTAGTTGGAACACATAAGGAGCCCTGGGAAGAGTGTTGGGAATTAAGGAAGTAAATAGAGGTTTGGGGGTCATGGGAGTGGTACAGCCCATACAGAGTACACCTAACATTGACAGACAACTCAGAGGTGGTCTTTCTCATTTTTCCCCTGCATTGTTAAAACCCTTGCAGTAGGACAAAAAGGAGAACACAGATGAAGTTCCTTAATGTTGTAGATAGCATTAGTAAAACATGCCTGCCTGATCATGAAAGAAAGATCCTAGATTGTGAAACAAACTGGGGAACAGAATAAGTCAGACTTAAGATTCAGACATAAGAGTTTGTATAATTAGGTGTGGGGGTGCTATCCCATCTTTCCTAGAAAAGACCAAGATGGTTGAAAAGTCACAGACCCTCTCTCAGTCCTCCAAAGCTCAATCTAACTGGCTTATGCAATATTAAGTACTTGAGTCAGATTTTATGACACTGTGGAAACTAGCTCATCTTAATTTCAGCCCTCAAATATAAAAGTAACATTAATACTAGTGCTTACTCCATAGAAAACTGAAGAAACAAGTATTGTAATTAATTCAGAAAAACTTTAAAATTGTGATTACAAATAGTATCATAGGGTAATTAGGAAGGAGGAGGTTACATACAGAGATCCAACAAAGGCCACATCAAACCAGAATGCTAGGCCGTGGATGAGGCCAGACTGTGCCATCTGGAACACAAAGGGAATTTCTACTCTGCAAGGAAATAAAAAAGACAGACAGAAAGAAGAAAACACTTGGAGTTATTATTTTGTCAACAGTACACTGAGTAGATTTGTGAGATGCAGAGGCGAGTTCAGGGAACATGTCCTTTTCTTTTAAGCACTTTTGCCTTGGCAGCAAGGTTCTCTGAGTACGTGATTAATGTTGGGTGATAACGCACATTGACAAGCTTGTTTCTTCACAAACACCTGCAAGGACCCCCCTACTGTGCTGCAGGGACCCAGAACTGCATAGATTGAGTAAAGCACCTGGAACTGTGTTTCAGTGTTGAATACAGGGATGACTCAGGACACAGGTAACAATCATCCACCAACAAGGCAAAACGTGGCTATAGCAGTTCCCACATACACCTGTTCAGAAGGAAAAGACTATTCTGGCCTCTCTAAATGGAGTATGTTTTAAGGGGAACATTGAGATCAGAAAGTCATCGTCATAGTTCATTTATTTTTCAGTGAGGCAATTTAACTTCCCACCAGGCTGTAGCAGGAGTCATGGAGAAGTGACCATCATTTACACCAAATTCAGAATAAACAGGAATATTGGAAAATAAAACAGAAAAAACTAAATGCAAGACCTGTTTTAGCTGTGGAAACTTGGTATGTTACCTTAGTTCTATGAATCTCAGTGTCCTCACTTGTTGAAGGGTAACAAAATCTCTCTTAGGAGGTTCTTTATGTCAAATGGGAAGTAATGTATATTATGGGGCTTTGTAACCTTTAAATCATTTCACACTTAAAAGATGACATCAATGGTCCATCACTGGAGCTGTATCACTCCAAGGGGATTTATTTTAGCAAGCTCTCTGGAGGTTTCCAAAGGAGGTTGTATGTTATTTGCATTTGTGGGGTCCACAAAGGCTTCACCCTGCAGCAATCAAAACATTTCAATTTATACTTGTCATGCTGAATTTATTGGTCTTGCACCACAATTCTTTCTTTTTTCTTTAGCCCTCTAAGTAGACTATGAACTCCTTAAAGATAGAGATTTTAAAAAATTACTTTTATACCTGTGTAAGCACCAACATAGTTCCTGGAACACAGTAGAATCTCAGTAGGCATTTACTAAATTAATGCACCAGTGAATGAATGACTTTTGTGGAAATCCAACATAGACATAATTTTCAAAAAAAATTCCCTAGAAATCAGAAGGTAACCTCAAGAAATAAATAAAGCCAATGGAAGTTTATTTTGTGTGGAACTTTGACAGCTAGAGTTGGTCCCAAATGCCAGTTATCTTGCTCAACGCTTATGGTATGACTTTATTCCTACATCCATCTGAGCTCAGGTACTACCATGTGATTTTCTCTGACCAATTAAAAGTGAGCCAGAGTGATTTGTACCATTTTCAGAGAGAAGCTTTAATTGCCAGAGCATACTTTGCAATGCACATTCTTTCTCCTCAAAGATCGCATAATTCCAGATAGCAGCAGGTGCCTCAGCCCAATTACTGGGCTGCATGATATATAGTCGAGCTAAATCTGGTGCACAATGGACGAATAGCACAGGGGAAAAAGATATTTGTATTATCATAAGTCACTAAAGTTTCTTTTTATTACTGCATCATGTACTGGCCTATACTAACTGAAATAAGACACACTTTGTCTTTCATGACCTCAAGATGGATGATTTTTTTTTCCAGTTAGCCAGCTGTACTTATTAAAATGTGGTCCTTGCTTCCTCAGTAGCTCCGGGCAAATTACAATATGGCTGGGTCTTAGCTTTCTCATTCGGAAAAATATACAAATGCTGACTTTTCCAGGGAGCAAAGGGAAAAACACTACTGAGAATTAATCCAAAGGGGATTCATATCACTATCTAAGAAAATGGAACTAAGTCAAGGCATGAGTCCTCATCCCAGAGTCTCTTCAAGTGAAGGGAAAGAAGATTAACACTTATTGAGTGTTTTCTTAAAAATGAGCCAGTGTCTCATAACACTTAGAATAGTACCTGATATGTAGTAGGCACTATACAACTTGTAGGTCTTCTTGTCATTAGTACCTGTATGCTATAGGTCCATTCATAGACATGTTCTTACTTGAGAGGCATTAAAATGGAATGGCTAAAAGCCTGGACTCTGGAGCTTTCTGAAATGTTAAAATCATAGCTCTAACACACTTGTGTAATTTTTCATTCCTCTCTGCCTCTTTTTTGTCACCTGCAAAATGAGAATCACAACAGTACTAGGCCAGACATGGTGGCACAGGTCTATAATCCTAGTAACTCAGGAGGTAGAAGCAGGCGGATTGTGAGTTCTAAGCCAGCCTGGGCCCTGAGACCCTGACTCAGAAACAAAAGCAAAGCCCAAGACACCCACAGAATCATTTTCATAACATTATGATAATTAAGTGGGTTATTATGTACAAAGTCTCAGAACAGTGTCTGATTGTGTAACTGTACTATTATCATTTAATTTTTGTCATTCAATTCTTAGAATGGCCCTATTAAAGAGCTATCATTATCTTCATGAAACTAGTACTGGCACCATTCCTTAACTGGATTCACATCTAAAAGTCTCTCATCTCAACGTGTAGCAAAAGTCTGATGTTTGAGGAGTGCCAGATGTGGAGAAGGGATTTTAAAAATTATAAGTAATACTGATTTGTACAAACCTGTGTAGATCTTCCTCTTTTGCATGCATAAAATTTACTGTGTATTTGACTGTCCGAGCCATCAAAATCCGAATGTCAAATGTGTCCTTGGAGGAAAGAAATCAAAGATATTAGCTTTCTGTCAAGATGCACTGAAATCAAGTGAGTTTGCCATCTAGCTTTCCTCCTGCAATTTTAAGTCAACAGGAGTTAGGATGTAGAAGGCATGAGCTTAATGAGAATAATGTTAATAACAAGTACTAACATTTATTGAGCATTACTATATGTGCCAAACACTACATGCTTTATACTTTACTAAGTGCTAAGTGCTTTACTAGGTTATGTCATTTATTTTTTGCAACCTTGCTAAAGCAAGTATTTTTTCAACTATCCACAGAATTCTTCCCTATGTTCTGTCTAAGAAGTTCCATGTAAACTTAGTCCACTCTTAGCAACAGATGTGGCATGTGATCTCAGTCTGGCCAGTCAGAGCATTACTTTTCCCTTGAAGATAGGGTCTGGTTCATACATAGGCACAAGATCCAATGGAGGACAATCAAGCGCTATCCACTAAAGTTGAGGGTTTTGCTTAAATTACTAGGCTCCCCTATGGGAAATAGAGTTGTAAGAACTAGAAGCAGAAGCTTCTGCAGCCATCTTTCTACCACAAGAGAGGTGTTTGTTTCAGAATAGTGTTAAATCAGAGGAAGTAGATTTAATTGATGAGAATAGAAAAGTCAACACCTGCAATAGGTTCCTGAAGCAAGATCTATCTCCAAGATTTGCAATTTTTGAGGGACAGTTATTCAGTTTTAGCTTAAGTTACTTTGGTTTGGGTTTCCTTTCACTAACAACTGAAAGGGTTTCTGATAATGCCAAACAAAGTTGCCCAAGGATGCACAGTTAGATGGGCTTCTAGTTGAAACCCCAAACTGACTAACAGCAAAGCTCCTGCTCTAAACTATTATACAATGTTTTCTCTTCTTTTATGCTTTGGCCACTGGATCAATGGGAGTGTGTGAGCTATTGAATAATAATGAGGGCTGAGTGTGTTGAGGGGCTCATCAGGGTAGTAGGGGGAATTAGAAGTTACCCAATGAAAGATAGTTAGAAAATCTCTTTGCTTTTAACAGTATCACTGACAATTTTCTCAATTGATTGAGACTATAAGACTTAAAAACATGATGTTCCAAGGAGTTCTTTCTCTTTGTCTGAGGTGGTTTAGCATAAAGCTTGATGCATGTGAGGTGAAAGGGTAGGGGAAAGAAGGAATTAGCATTCTTCCATTTGTTTAAATGGAAGAATGCCTATAAAGAGAACCCACTTACTACTATAGGCTGTCTGAAGTATTCCTCCATTGCCGCCCCTCGGAGACTGGACAGGTTGACTCCATAGAAGCACTGCTGGTACCTACAATAAGTAGTATAAAGAATCACCATGCACTGTGTCCTTTGCCTGGGTCCCCAAGTTCCCTATAGTTGTGGTGTGTGCTTTCTTGTGGGTCCTCTAAGATAGCCCTGGAGTGAGTGCTGGAACATACAAAGGTTAACTGTGCTATAGGAAGTGTCAAGAAATTCTCTAGAAAATCTGCAGACCTGTCTCGACCTGGGGTGGGAAAAGAAAAAGGGAAGAAGTTGAGTTGAAGGAAATTACTTATAGGGAGAGATTACTGAGAAGGATATTTGGAAGCGGAGGCCTTCCAGCCCCTACCCTGGATTGCATGCCCAACAGGTGTCCTCCTGCTCCATGGCACATTCTTCAAGTGCTGAATGCAATTTCCTTGGCCCTTCATGATCCAAACCCAGAGAATGAATGCAGACCTCCAAAGCCTCTCAACACTCCTGCTGTTTTACCAAATCGATTTCCCTGTTTTGTTCTTCCATGGCCACAGGCCAGCACCTGCACGATGGCATTTGCTCTGATAGCTGACACCAGGTAGTGAGTCAAGTGATCAAAGGCTATATCTGGTGGTGAACTAGAACTAGCTCATCAGAGCCCACTGTGCATGCTTCTCCCTATTCCCACAGTCACTGAACCAAAGAAATAGCCAGATACTATAAATCATGTCTTTATAATACTGCACTGCATGCTCTCCACACATCCCTCCCCCAACCCTTCCAGATATCAAGCATTTACCAACACACCACTGACTCTCTTACTTTTTTGGACCTGCTGCAACTCAGAGCATGCCTAGAACATGGTAGGAATTCGGTGTCAGCTTGGTAATTGTCTTGAGTATTTACAGATGTGGTCTAGGGTATGTGTTAAAAGCAGCTTTGATTTCAGCTTTGCCTAGCTGTGTGGCTTGAACAAGTCACTTTAACTCTGTGTCTCAGTTTCTTTATTTCTACAATGGATATAGTTATAAGTTAACCTCATAGAGTTTTTGTATCGGTTAAATAGATTAATAAAGGAAAACACTTTGAACAATGCTTGGCATTTTGTTATATTACTGTTGACTACTGTTCTTGGAATGTCACCTTCTCAGATCTGCACTGAGGACTAGGAAAGTGCTTCGCACTCTGACCATGCCATGAAATTCCTTGGAGGAGCTAGTTAAACATTCAAATTCCCAGGCCCAACTCCAGAAAGGCTTGGGAACCTTATCACTGAGGGGAAGGCTTTTACCCCTTACTAGGCTTCTCTGGTTAAGGGTGTGTGGGTCTGCATTGTGTAGTCTATGAACCAGATGAGGACTCAATTTATCAGTCCCCCAAAGCCCATGCTCACCAACCTGTAGGGGAGAAATAAAACAAAACAAAATACAGAAACACAGAATACACACTTCAAAATTGTGGTACAATCAGATTTTGATGAAAGCAAGTCTACATCAGGAGTCAAAGCCTTAAGTGCCTTCCTGGGCAGCACGGAGGAGAAGCCAGCCTTGTACTGATAGGTCTACAGCCAGTTCTCAACAGAAGCAAGTCTGAGTCACTCAATGACCAACAGAGTCTTGCAGGGCACGTGTCATGTCTCACCTGTCTCCTCTACCTAAATGCCTCTCTTGCCCTGTTTACTCCAACTTAACCTTGAAGACTCAGGTCAAATGTTTCCATTAAAAATTAAAAACCTTGTGTGATAGCTTAATATTTAGGTTTCACTTCCTTAAAAGCAGAAGTATTTTCTTATTCATCAGTGTGTATATAGCATTTATCATAGAGCCCGGAATATTATTAGAGCTAAAAAGATCTAACTATAACTATTTTTTAAACAATGAATTCATCAGTGAATGTATTGGAGGACCTAGTGTCCTGCTTGGCCCTATATGTGAGCACAGACACTTGTAAGATTATGGGGAAGTGGAAATTCATTTGGCCACATTTCTTCAGCTTCATTACTCCTTTCCTTTCACCTAGGACTAGAGGAAAGTTGTCCCACTAGTACAATATTGCATATCAGTTCATGAATAGATATATTGAAAAAAGGTCCCTGCAGTCCTAGAAAATGCTTGAGAACAGAACACCATAGGTTTAAGCAATCTTTTTATTATTTAAAAGGAGATTGGGAGTGCTCTTAGGGAAAATAATCATTTTCACAAAAGTTTGTATTAGAAGTAGTGAGAAAAGACTAGGTTACAAGGAAAGGGAGAGGAGGAGAAAACAGAAAGAGGACAGATTGGAAGGAGGAAGAAAAAGGAGAAGGGAAGAAAGAAGAGGGAAGGACAGAGACAGAGAGACAGAGAAAGAGAGACAGAATTTTTCAGAGAGCCTAGAAGTTAAAAGTTCTCAACCTTGTCTATTTAAGAATCCCAAGGAAGCTTTCAAAGGTGATAATGCTTGCACCACATCTCCCTGAATGGTGGCTTACTTGGTCTGGGGAGGGTACCCCTAGCTAGCACTTATTTATTTCCAAAGTTCAACCAGCGATTGTAATATGTAACCCAGGTTGGGTACTCCCTAAGTTAGCTTGTTTAGAATCCTGGCCAAGTAGGTGAAAGAGAAAATCACAAGGGCACATATGACTCTCCACCTGGCAGTGACTGAGTGGAAAATCTCTATCACTAAATACAACCTCAGCTTTCAGAGGGGATGCATCTGTGCCATCTCTGGGTGTGTTCAGTAACCAATTAAAACTCCACAGCCACAACCACTGTGGTGCAAATGGACACCATTCCTGGGGCAGACAGGAGAGCTGTGGGCAAAAAGCCCACTGCCTGGGCTTTAAAAAAAATTTCTGCCTGGGCCACATTTAATATTTCTAATTCTTAGAAATTTCTAATATCCTTCTGTACTGCGTTATGAAGTAATGAAAGCAGATGGGAGCAGGCATCTCTCTGGGTTGCCTAAGATCCACTGTGGGTGGGGGATGGATTAAGAAATTAATCTGTTAAATTGGGAGCTAGAAACAATAGTTTCTATTGTTTGCATCATATGTGGGCTTTCTTAATTTATAGCCTCTTTGTGAATGCACAGGGAATGAATCTGTATGAGTTTTTTCATGAGTTCACATTTCCAATTCCCACCATTCTTCAAGTAAGAAGTTCTTCTCATTTACCACCACCAGCGTAATGAATGCACCATCTGGGAAGGCTGGCAAATAAGGCCTAGAAAATAAATCTTTTTACTATGGGTTGAGTCTCCCTTATCCAAAATGCTTAGGACCAGAAGTGTTTCAGTTTTTTTAAAAAATTGGAATATTAGCATACTCATAATGAGATGTCAAATGCAAACACAAAATTAATTTATGTTTAATGTAAAATTTAAACATGGATCCTGACAGTAATTTTATAGCAATATTTTTAGTGCACCTTCATTTTGATTATGACCCCCTCACATAAGGTCAAGCAGAATTTTCCATTTCAGGCATCATATCTATACGTAAAGTTTCAGATTTTGGAACACTTTAGATTTCAGATTAGGGATGTCTTACATATATTAGCTAGTCTTAAATATATTCAGAGTCCAGAGAATAAAACAATCCATGTCCAATCACATTAATGTCACTTCCTGCACATAGCCTAGCTTACAGAAATATCCAAGACAGCCTCCCTTTTTGGTCTCTGTTTTGTTCTGTTTCTCTTCTATTAACCTAGGTCTCTTGTCCATCCTCCTCTTCCACATATCCCCTCCCAGCTGTGTCCAGGATGTGTACTATGAGGAAGGGGATGCAGTCTGAGTTTTTTTATTGGAATTAACACTGGTTTCTAAGATTCCAAAGAGGTGAGACTCTCTAACACATGCACGCCCTTCTCTTGCTAATATGAACCCTCTCTTTCATCGGATCACTCAGATGTTTCACTTTAATAAAAGTCTTTTCAACTTCATTCCATTATAACAAAGACATCTATTCATCCCAAAAAGAAAGTTTCTTGCCAAAAAAAGGAAAAGAAAGAAAGAAGAGGAACGAAAGAGGAAAGGAAAATAGAAAGACAGATGAGAGGGTGAGGGAGAGGAGAAGAGACAGAAGAGAAGGAAAGAGAAGCTCTGAGTCTTCATGTTGTAAACTTTACCATAATGAACAATCAAGAGTATGCTAACCTGATGACAGGTGCAAGTAACTCTAAGTCCTAGAAAGCAAAAACTAAAAACAAAAGGATCCAAAAATGTCTGGCATAAATGTGTGGTTGGAATAGCTGAAAGGTATAGCTAATAACAAATTGCATCTTCATTTGATTTTTTTATACATTCCTTTATGTAGTGGGATTTGGTGTTTGGTTGTTTTGATATTTTTCTTTTCCTTATAAAATATTAAATTAAATTTTATACACATTATTTTATCCACTTTGCATACGAGTGGTAAACACACTTTATGAGAGATCTACCCTCTTAAAATTTAAGTGTATAATACATTTTTTTACTGTAGGTACATTAGCATATAATACATTACTAGAGACTACTCCATTCACTTGACTGAATCTTTATGTCCACTGATTAGTTACTTCCTATTTCTCTCTTTTCCCAGACCCTGGGAACTTCCACCCCATCCTTTGAGTCTATGAATTTGACTCTGGTAGGCAGTATGGAATTGTGTAGTATTTGTCCTTCTGTGGCTGACTTATTTGTAGAATTATGTCGTCCAGGTTCATCTATGTTGTTACAGATTGCAGAATTTCTCTTTTTTTTCTTTTTCTTTTTAAATTTTTATTAGCATATTACTGTTGTAGTGGGAGTACATTGTGATATTTACAAAAGTGCTTACAATATATCTTAATTAGATGCACCCCTTCCATCATTCTCCTTTATCTTCTCTCCCCACTTCTTAGAATAGTTTCAACAGGTCTCATTGTTCCATTTTCATACATGAATACATAATATTCCCACCACACTCACCTCCTGCACCCTTTCATTATGTCTTCCCCTCTCCCACTGGTACCAACCTAGACAGGAACTGTTTTAACCTTCTTGTCCTTCATTTTTGAAAAAAAGGCATTTTTGTTTATTTAAGATAGCTATACAGGGAATTTCATTATG